AAATCATAAATAATGTATCGCCACACCCCAGCCCCATGTACCATACCTGACAAGAGTATGGAGACAGGATGTGATTTTTATCTTGGCATAATATAAAAAATTAAGAGAGGAAAAAAAAAAAACGCTAAGCAAATCCCCGTGGACAAGCATGATCCTCAGGCCTGGTTAGGGGCTGGGGTAGGGAATTAGGGGGGTGGGATTTTTATCCCAAAGTCTCACCTGGATTGTAACTGTGAGCACTCATGTATGGCAAGATCCCAAAAGGGGCTTCCAGGACATGCATGCATGAGGTCTGCTGCTGGAAAGATGAGGTGTACTCTTACTGCCCTGGATGAGCAGGTACCAGGAGAGCCTTGTGGGTACCCAGTCAGAGTTCGCCATGTGCCCATGCAGTCCCAGGAATACAAAGATCCTGGTTTTTCTTCTTGCCCCAGGGTGATGTCCCAAATGTCCTCCCACTTCAAGTGGGGTTGAACCTAGTGTACATACTGAGCCCAAGAGAGGTAAGAGGCTCACTCCCTGTCCCTCCAGCTCTGGAGGGGTACAGTTTTTGTTTTTGTGGTGGATTGGCCAGGGCCAAGCTGTCCCAGGGTCTCCATCTTCAGGAGGGGCAGAGGTCTCCTTGGAGGTCTCCTCAGCCAGAGGTCTCCTCAGCCAGAGGTCTCCTCAGCCAGCACTCTCTAACATGTAGTTGTAGAGTCCTTCACTTTTGGGCTTTCCTTTCTGCCCCTGTCTGGGGACTTTGCCCTTTTAGATCCTACTCGATACAGCTCCCAATGGCTTCTGGAACCTTCTGTGAATATTGAGTAGTCCACTGTTTCTCAAGTGTTCAACCTTAAAAGTGGTTTTAAAAAAAACTTGTATGATTTAGGAGCTGGCTGGGCGTTGGTGATGCACAACTTTAGTGCCAGCACTCCGGAGGCAGAGTCAGGTGGATCTACAGCCTGGTCTACAGAGAGAGTTCCAGAACAGTCTCTTCAAAGCAATACAGAGAAACCCTGTCTCAACCCCCCCCAAAAAAATTTGGGGCTGGAGAGATGACTCAGCAGTTAAGAGCACTGACTGCTCTGCCAGAAGACCGGAGTTCAATTCCCAGCACCCATGGCTCGAAGCTGTCTGTAACTCTAGTTCCAGAGGACCCTCACCCAGACATACATTCAGGCAAAACACCAATGTATCTAGAAAACTTTAAGATTTATTAATTTATTTATGTATTTTATGTCTATGAGTGTTTTTCCTTCTTGTACGTGTGTGTACCACGGTGTGTGGGCAGAAGAGGGTGTCTGATGTCTGATACTGTGGAACTGGAATTACAGGTGGTTGTAAGCCACTATGTGGGTGGTGGAAATCAAATTCTGGTCCTCTACAAGACCAACAAGTCCTCTTAACCACTGAGCTACTTCTCCAGCTTCCCTTGCAAGTTCTTTAGGCCGTGGTCCTGCTTATTTCTCACCATGTTACTGAGAGACATGCTAGTTTTGCTGTTTTGCCCACTAGGAAGTTGGGCCTGGAGTGGAAGGGATTTAACTAAGGCAATGTAGCCAGGGTGGTGTGGGAATGAGGACTCCCTCCAGGTCCCCTGCACATCCAGGCCTGCAATCACCATGATGTGGCCCTTCTTTGTCGTCCCTCTTCGGGGGATTGGCTGGGCTTTTGTGAGTGCAGCCAGACCTGGGGGGGTTCAAGCACTGTGGATATCTATGGGCCAGGCATGCACCTTCCTCAAGAGTCCCCAACCCTGAGTTGGCTTAGACCCTCCTGCTCTTACTCTTCACTCTAAGCTGGTGCAGGCCTGGCTTGGTGGAGGAGACAGGCAGAGAAGGATGAGCCATGGGAGGTGCCATGCTTAGGGGCTAACCTGTCACTGCAGCTCCCTGCCCTGCATTTGCTCCACGACAACGAAGCTTCTGAGCTGTCCCAATAACCAGACTGCAGAGCAGACATTCCCTCCTGTCTCATGCCTCAGTTTCCCTGAGCTCACTGTCTTTGTTTTATCTTCATAAGCGTAAGCAGTTAGGTACAGGGCAGGAGTATTAACTTGCTGGTCAGCCAGAGGCTGAGGAGGTGGGTTCTACTTTGACCCTGAGCTGAGGAAGCTGGCCCTGAAGGTCTCGGGAGGGAACGGAGGGGTATAACGGAGGGGTATGAGCTATGCACACACTTTAGCTCCAGGAGCTCTGCCCGTCTTGCCCATGCATCGGCAGTTGGCATTAGTGCTGTCCTTTAGATCTGGGCTTGGTCTAGCTGGATGCCAACCAAGCTCAGGAAATGGATACACACAGCCACAAAATCTGGACAAGCTGTATTCTGGACAGAGCAGTCAGGAGCAGGTGCCACTGGTTCCGATGGATCATCCTGCTCTACATTCTCAAGTTCAGACCCAGGCCAGGCCCTCTGGATGGAGCATGAATGGGGCTACAATCATGGAAACAATTGTCCCTCCCTTTCAGGGCTGCCCTTGTAGCATGTGGCTGCAGGTGTGAGGAAAAGACACGTCCAGTAACAGGAATCTTAATTGGTATGAACCATCATCTCTCTTCTGTAAGGCAGGACCATGACAATCCCCATCCTTTCCGGGTTCTGAACATTTTCGAAAGGTCCACAGGAGGAGACGTGTGTGTGTGTGTGTGTGTGTGTGTGTGTGTGTGTGTGTGTGTGTGTTCTAGAGATGGGAGCAGAGTCAGAAGTGAGCCACGGTGACCTGTTTCTAAGCAGTGTTGAGCCTTGCCCCTTACCTGTCACAGCAGCAGCCTTCCTCTCGCAGTCCTTAGTCCTGGTTGGTCCATCTGCAGCAGAGTGGATAGCTTTCAAAATTCTTTCTCCTAGGACTCTGAGGAACAAGGGCCCGGAGTTTCCCACAATCTTTCTATGCCAGGACTGTTTACAAGTGGAGTTCTTAAGAAGCCAGGCATTGAAGGGGTGGAGTAGAGGGGACCCTGGCAGGGATGAGGAGGCACTAGGAGTCTGAGGGAGCATTGGAGACAGATGTGCAGATGGTAAGTGAGGGGTCTGACACCAGACTAGAGTCTTGTGTGTTCTTTTGGATAAAGAAGCGGGTTCCAGCGAGGCTCAGGAAAAGGACGAGTGTAGGAGGAGGTGCTGGTAGAAGAGAGGGAGATTTCCTTAGAGACCAGTGTCTGGGCACTGGGACTGGAGGCCCCGAATGAGACTCTGTGTACTGGGGACTTGAGGGTGAGAATGTCACGGGAATTAGATTCTTTGGACTACTGACTTTCAGGGCCTGGGAGGGGGCAGAAAGAATTGGGGGACACGAAACAAAGTTACATCAAAGCCAGCACATTTTAGGTTGGTAGGGACAGCATGTCAGACCCAGGTCCCAAGGACTTCGTCTCTCAGGTTCATTTTTCTCATCTGTGAAATGGGATTGTTGTGAATGGCCCGGGAAAAGAAGATGCTCTTGGCTTCGGCTGAGTGGAACAGCTATTAAGGTTTACATGCAGGTAGAGTCCTGGAGAGTGTTCCTAAATTCTGCGAGCTGCGGTGTCAGCATTGCCCCCTGGTGACGATCTTGAGAACAACAGGCAGAGCAGAGCCACCGGGCTGGCAGGGAGAGCGGCCGCTGTCAAGTGGCCTGCAGCTCAGCATCTGTCGGTTGGTAGGAGCCAGGGCGCAGCAGGACCTCTGGAGCAGAAGGCATGGTAGGTGAATGGGATGCAGGCTCTGGCCAGGGTGCTGTGGTCCGACAGGCGCGGCTCCCAGGGTGTGATGGGTTGGAGCACTGTGGGGCACTTGGGGGTCGTGGGGGAGACCTCTCAGCCAACCGGGTTATTTCTGTCATTTTCCTGATTACGGTTGTCTCAGCGCTGTTGGTGGCCACTGCTGACCTCTAGACATGGGGCATCTTTCTTGAACCTGGGCTGTCACCTGCCCATTCCTAGCTCCTCTCTTGGTGAGAGTTCCAAGTAGCAAGAACTCCAGGTTTCTGTGAGTCTGTAGTAGGTACCAAGAATGTCAGATATTTAGACTGGAAACGATTCAGATGACAGAAAACAGAGCCAATTTGGGGTCAAAGCATAGTTTTTAGCCTTTTTACTCCTTCACTTGACCCCTACGGTGGCTTTCTCTCCACATCAAGGTCACCACAGCTCTCTGTATGCTAGGTCTGCCCAATGTTTCTTGTGGATTAAGCATCTGGACCTTCCCCCTGGAGTTGGGAAGTCAGGTCTGCCTTGGGATTTGCTTCAGAGCTCTGGCTCTTCAAGCAATACTGTAGTTGTGCCCACTCTTCTGATAGCCACACTGAGTGGCTCTCCTGAAGTCATTGAAAGCTAGATACCCAAAGGAGATGGCCAAGCCTGTTGTTGGAAGAACCTGTCACTTATTCAAAGGGTTCAGTAGATCATGACTTTCCAAGTAAAAGGACAACCATCATTTAAAAATGATTGCACTTATTTATGTGTGTGTGCATATGTGTGTGAGAGAGAGACAGAGAGACACAGAGAGAGAGCACATGCGTACTTGTGTCCTGGCATGTGTGTAGAGTAGAGGTTAGTGGAAAACGTGTGGGAATCGGTTCTTTACTTCTCCCATGTAGCTCCCGGGGATGAACTCAGCTCATTTACCTGCTAAGCCATCTCACTGGCCCCAATTTTATTTATTTACTTATTTATTTTTTATTTTGTTTTCTTTTTGGGGACAGGGTTTCTCTGTGTAGGTCTGGTTGTTCTGGAACGTGTTCTGTAGATCAGGCTGGCCTCAGACTCACAGAAATCGGCCGCCTCTGCCTCCCGAGTGCTGGGATTAAAGGTGTGCGCCACCAACGCCCCACCTATTTTATCGATTTTAGGGATCACACTTTTAGTACTCTGCGGTTGTAATGCACTCTACAGTAGGCAGCAGGTGTCTGTCCTTCTGTCTCAGAGGCTTGTGAAAATCAGCCTATCCTCTTTGGTGTAATGATTTAGGACAGAGCTGGGATTACTTCGGTGACTTACGGGCATCTTTTCCCTCTATCTCACAGACTCCTCCCTGCTTCAATTGTTCTATCTCTCCTGGAGAGTCCCCAAATGGCTCAAGGAGCCCCATGTTCTGCAATGGCAGTGGGGTCAAGGGAAGCTTTGACCCTGAGGACTTGAACCTGACTGATGAGGCCCTGAGGCTGAAGTACTTGGGGCCACAGCAGATAGAGCTGTTTGTGCCCATCTGTGTCACATACCTGTTGATCTTTGTGGTGGGCACTGTGGGCAACGGGCTGACCTGCACCGTCATCCTTCACTACAAGGCCATGAACACGCCCACCAACTTCTACCTTCTCAGCCTCGCTGTGTCCGATTTGTTGGTGCTCCTGGTGGGCCTGCCCCTGGAGCTTTACGAGATGCAACACAATTACCCGTTCCAGCTGGGCGCAAGTGGCTGCTACTTCCGAACACTGCTCTTTGAGACCGTCTGCCTAGCTTCAGTGCTCAATGTCACAGCCCTGAGTGTGGAGCGCTATGTGGCCGTGGTGCACCCACTCCAAGCCAAGTCTGTGATGACACGGGCCCACGTGCGCCGCATGCTGGGGGCCATCTGGGTCCTTGCTGTGCTCTTCTCTCTGCCTAACACCAGCCTACATGGCCTCCAGCATCTGTATGTGCCCTGCCGGGGTGTGGTGCCTGACTCAGCTGTGTGTACGTTGGTGCGTCCCCGTGTCTTCTACAACTTGGTGGTACAGACCACCACACTGCTCTTCTTCTGCCTGCCCATGGTCACCATCAGTGTGCTGTACCTGCTCATTGGGCTGCGGTTGCGGAGGGAGAGGATGCTGCTCCAAGAGGAGATCGACGGCAGGAAAGCTACAGCCGCCCGGAAGACCTGCAGCAGAAGGCTTCTGCTTCGAGATAGGGGACGGAGACAGGTGACCAAGATGCTATGTAAGTGTCGTTGTTGAGGAAGGAGCTGAACTTCCTTGGGTCTGGGGAGGGAGGTGAGCTTCTGGCTTTTTGTCTTCCTTCCTTCCTTTCTTTTCTTTTTCTTTTTCTTTTTTTTTTTTTCCTTTTTGTCTTTTTCTTTTTCTTTTCTTTTTTCATTTTGGTTTTTCGAGACAGGGTTTCTCTGTGTAGCTTTGGAGACTGTCATGGAACTCGCTCTGTAGACGAGCCTGACCTCGAACTCACAGAGATCTATCCACCTGCCTCTGCCTCCGGAGTGCTGGGGTTAAAGGCTTGCGCCACCAGCATCCGGCTTAGACAGGGTTTCTCTGTGTAGCCCTGGCTGTCCTCGAACTTGCTATGTGACCAGGCTGTCCTGGAGTTTAGAGATTCACCTGCCTCTGCCTCCTGAGTGCTGGGATTAAAGGCGTGCGCCACCATTGCTGGGTTCTCCTGTCCATTTTTTTTTTTTTTTCCCTGTTCACTTTTCAAGCATGGGTGGATAGTGAGCCAGAGAGGCAAACACTAAGCGCGAAGCGGATCAAGGCAGGCCTGTCTTCTCTGTTCTTGCAGTTGCACTGGTTGTGGTGTTTGGCATCTGCTGGGCTCCATTCCATGCTGACCGCCTCATGTGGAGCTTGGTGTCCCACTGGACCGAGGGCCTGGTCCTGGCCTTCCAATTTGTGCACGTTGTATCTGGTGTCTTCTTCTACCTTGGCTCAGCCGCCAACCCAGTGCTCTACAGCCTCATGTCCAGTCGCTTCCGTGAGACCTTCAGGCAAGCCCTGGGCCTGGGAACCCAATGCGGTCGCCGCCACCAACACTGTCATGGCTCCCATAACCTCAGCAGATTGACCACAGGCAGCACCCTGTGTGACTTGGGTTCCCGGAACAGCAGGGCTGGACCCCTGGCTGAGAATAGGGATCCAGGGTTTCAGCGGGAGACAGACCCCTCCTGAGTAAAATCTCAAAGGAGGCTCACCCCGGGCCAGAGGGCCCCAGACAGCCTGGGGAGCTACTGGGACCCATACCGCAGTGACTCCCACCCTGCCCACGTATTTGAGTGTTGAGGGAAACAGCAAGAAGAGGATTGAACCTCGATTGATAAAGACTAGAACCAAGGGCCTGGAAAGCTGACTCAGCAGTTAATGCTTGCTGCTTCCAGAGGACCGGAGTTCAGGTCCCAGCACCCACACGGCAGCTCACAACTGCCTGTAATAGCAGCTCTAGCTCATCTGACACTCTCTTTTGAAAGCTTCAGAAGGCACCCGCATGTACATAACACACACTCATTAAAAACAAACAAACAAACAAAACTTTAAAAAAAAAAAAAAAGCCAGGCACATGCTTGAACACCCCTCCAGATCCCTGAGCCCCAGCTAAATTCTCCCCCACAGAGCCATCACAGCCACCTAGGCCTCAGCAATTATCCCTCTGCGATCTCTTCTTCCTCTCAACTGCATATATGTTTCCACGGGTTTAGCCGTCACTCTGGTGACTTCTGAACATCCGTAGGCTCTGCCATATCTTTTCCCCAGGTCTTCTACTAAATCCACTTGGGACCATCACCTTCCTGGCTTCTTAGTCTACACTGAACTGAAGTCTGAGCCTGTTAGAGCTGCCAGGTGACAGAGGTTCCCAGGAACCCTGGGGACCTGGATCTAACCTCAACCTTTGTCACCAGCTTACTGCCTTGTGGCGAATTGCCCCTCCTTTCCTCGGGTCCCTTGTTTGCCCCTCCAATGAAGGTGCGTTGACATATCAGCCTCACTCGGTGCTACCTTCATCTGTGTGCAAAACCAACCGATCGATGACTTCACATCTGTACCACTCCAAAACCCCGCTTTCCCTCGGACCTTCCCGTGCCCCCGCTCCAAGCTGCCTAGGGCAGGCCCTTCGCTTGCCTTGGAGTGGATAGGGCCGACCTGGGACCAGTACACTCCCCTTGCCTGTTGCCTCTCTCACCTGCGCACAGACTTGACCTGGCCGTCCCAGATGAACAAAGTACTAGGTGCTGTTAGCTGGGGGATCTCTGGAGGAAGAAACACAGACTAACCAAGGACCAGAGTGGCCATGCACAGACAGTGTGTTGGTTGGTCTTTATCACCTTGACACAAACTAGAGTCACCTGGGAAGAGGGAACATGAGTTGAGGAAGTGCATCCATCAGACTGGCCCATGGACATGTATGTGTGACATTTTCACCACTAATGATTGATGTAGCGGGGCCCAGCCCATTGTGGGTGGTACCCCTCCTGGGCGGGTGGTCCTAGGTTGTCTAAGAAAACAAGCTGAGCAAGCTGTCAGGGAGCAAGCCAGTAAGCCCAATGCCCCATGGCCTCTGCTCCAGTTCCTGCCTCCAGGTTCCTGCCTTGGTTCCCGGTGGTGATGGATAGTACACTGAAATAAACCCTTTCCGCTGGGAGGTGGTGGTGCATACCTTTAGTCCCAGCACTCGGGAGGCAGAGGCAGACGGAGTTCGAGACCAGCCTGGCCTACAAGAGCTAGTTCCAGGACAGCCTCCAAGGCCGCAGAGAAACCCTGTCTCAAAAACACCTAAATAAATAAATAAATAAATAATAAACCCTTTCCTCCCCAAGTTGGCTCTGTTCAGTGTTTTATCACAGAAACAAAATGCAAATGAGGACATGCAGTTCTGTTACAGGGTCTAGGTGGTCAGGGACAATACTTGAAGTTTCATGCCATTCTGAATTCCCAGGGACAACCTGTTGCTCAGGAGGGACCCCATTAGTGGATGAAATGTGTTCCCCTACAAGTTACTGGGTCTTGTCCTGAGAGACCTGGTGTCCACAGTTAGGGGCTGGGCTGTACAGTGACTCTGTAGACAACCTGCCAACTGGTGCCCTAGGTCCCCAGCCTGTCCAGTGAAGGAGATGGTATAGGGTTGTTTCAGGAGTCAGTTTTATATTGCTGGGACAAATACCTGACAGAGACACCTGAAAGATGGAAGGGAGTTGGGCATGGTGACAGATAACACCTCGAAAGTGATGATAGGAAGATCGTGAGTTTGAAGCTAGCCTAGGCTACACAATGAGACTACCTACCAAAAAAACAAATAAACAAATAAGATTTCTGTAAGGAGTAAGGTTTGGCCAGGGTTTCAGTCTGTGATCAGCTGGCTGTATTATTTCTACCTGTGGTGAGAGACAAGGGCATGGTGAGGCTAAGTTTCTTACCTTATGGTGCCAGGAAGAAGTAAAACACTTCAGGAAAAAAAAAAAAAAACCCAAAACATTATTTTGTTTTTTCTCCCAGGGCATACCCCCAGCGACCTACTTTCTGTAACTTAGCCTTACCTCTAAAAGTTTCCATCACTCTTCAGTAATACCATTTATGACCCAATCACTTCCTCAGAACTCAACTTCCAAACATAGATGCACTGGGAACCAAGCCTTCCTTCAACACATGAGCCTTGGGGGGGGGGGTTGTAATATTCAAATCATAACAGTTGCAGATCTGTTGTTTACTCAATTATACAAATAATAAATACTCGATGGGCAGTGGTGGTGCATGCCTTTAATCTCAGTACTTGGGATGCAGAGTTAGGTGAATCTCTGGGAGTTCAAGGCCTGCCTGATCTACAAAGCGAATTACATGGCAGCCAGGGCTACACAGAGAAACCCTGTCTTGAAAAACAAAACAAATAATAAACACTGATTGTAGAAAATATGGAAATGCAAATAAGCAAATGTAGAAGAAAAACAGGAAGGGGTGCTTGCCTTGTGAGCGTGGGGATCTGATTTAATCCTCAGGACCTATGATACAATGCCTGGTGTCACAGTTATCTGTGATAGGTGGCATTACTGAGGATAGCATTTGAGGCTGTCCTGCTTTTACAAACACACTCACACACATGCACACACACACACACACACACACACACACACACACATTCCACACACAGACATACACACATATGCATGAACTTACAAAGCACACACACACACCAGCATCCTTTTTTCATTTTGTTTCTTTTTTTTTGAATTTTTGAGATCTGCCTTCCTCTGCTCCTGAGTACTGGGATTAAAGCTGTATGTCACCATGCACTTTCGTCATCAGGGACTGTAGGGAAGGAGGAATAGGAACTTGCTTATTGAGTACAGAATTCCTGCTTTGTGAGATGGAAAGCTCTGGAGGTTGGCTGCACAATTATTATCCTCAATAGTACTTATATTAGTTACTTCTCCCTATTTCTGTGACCTACTGGTTGTTAGAAGTAATATAAGAAAGGAGGCTCATGGTTTCAGTGGCTCTGGCCCATCGTGGTGGGTGTGGCAGAGTTCACGGTGGTAGGAGTGTGCAGCCACAGCTCCTCACACCTGGACAGACCAGGAAGCAGAAGGATGGAAAGGCTGAGGTTCAGTTGGCTTTTCCTCTTTTCCATCTTTATTCAGTCCAGGACCCCCGCCCATGGGACAGCGCTGCCCACAATCAGAATGGGTCATCTCGCTGATATAGTCTAGAACACCCCTGGGCAGAGATGTCCAGAAGTGTGTCTCCTAGGTGATTCCAAATCCAGTCAAATTGACATGAAAATAAACTGCCACGATACTGAGCCATCCATTTAAATGGTTAAGATGGTAAACTTCTTGTGTATATTTTATCACAATTTTTTCCATGACTTTGCTCTACTGTATATATTTTGTCATATTTCCTTCTAAGAGTGTTTTATCTGGCTGTTCTCAAAAACTATAAACAAGTCTGCCCTGCTTTTTCCATAGAAGATGACAGACTATCCAAAGTCGAGGTTGCAACTCATTTGACCCATAGGCTCCACTGTGTCGGGCCTTGGCCAGCCTGAGAAAGCCCCCTGAGTCTCATATAAGCTACAGTGTGGAGAAGTTTCCAGATGCTGGCCCAAGAAGGCCCCACTCCCTCCTGTCCTCTGTGTTTGGAAGAGCTGACCAAACACAGGAAAGAAAAGCCACCCTCCCTGTTGGAGCTGCCACTGCACAGGTTCCGGCTAACCAAAGACAGGATGCACGGGCCCAGGGACAGACAGCAGAGGTTGGGGTGGACATGGAGCAGGTACTCTGAAAGCAGTGGAAGAAAAAGAAACCTCAAGGAGGCGACATACGGGCCATGGAACTGAGAGGAGAGCTGGCTGTAGAAAGGGAGTCTCCTCAGTGCGTGATCCTGGATGTGTGGTGACAGGGTACACACAGCCTGAGCTCCTGTGCACACGTGAGTGGTGTGAGGGCCAGGTCAGTGACTGGAGAGACAAAGGAGCCTGTGATAAGATGACTTTTAGAGCCGAGTGCAAAAGGCTCACCTCTGTCACACGCACTAGGGAGCTTGTGAGTAGACATTAAAACTGTTCCTAGAAATCCAGGCAGTGGTGGCTCACACCTTTAACCCCAGCACTCGGGAGGCAAAGGCAGTTTTAGGTGGTCTCTGTGAGTTCAAGGCCAGCCTGCTCTACAGAGTGAGTTCCACGACAGCTAGGGCTGTTACACAGAGAAATCCTGTCTCAAAAAAACAACCAACCAACCAAAAAAAAAAAAAACCGTTCCCAGAGACCAGCTCTGAATTCCCAGATATCTCTGTTCAGTGACAGAAGGGACAGTGTTTCTGAGGAGTGGAGTCTGTGTGTGTGTGTGTGTGTGTGTGTGTGTGTGTGTGTGTGTGTGTGTGTATAGGGCTGGTCCATGCAGAGAAGCACAGGGCAGGTAAGATGAGGAATAACTTACTCCTGGCTGTGAACTTTCCATGTTGATTGAGAGTGTCCACAGACCGTCAGTGGCCAGGTTCTATATGTCATAGGCCACTGGTGGTCCTAGGTCCTAGAAAATGAAACATCAGCCAGGCTCAGTCCTTGAGAATAAGGCCTAGGATGCAGAAGACAGCAGCAGTGCCTACTTAGGACACTCACAGGGGACAGTCAGAGGCATTGGCCCTGTATTCCTTCTAGAAGGTTCCTCTGCTGCTCCTGTGCATTGTCGGGATAGGAGCTCTGAGTCCCATGGACCCCAGTACCACTCTTAGGTTAGAAGCCAACTTTTCTTTAAGAAAATGACTTATTTGGTATGAGTGCTGTCATAACATCCCTTTCTCATAGAATTTGGTCCATCTGCACACCACTCCTACATTACCATAAATGACAACAAAGGCCATGCAGATGACCTCACTGCCTCCAAGCGCTTCTGCTCTAGAGATTGCTCCTTGGGCCTGTGGCCACCCTGTTATTGTCTTGTAAGTTAGGTAAGTGTTTAGTGGGTACTGAATCTAAAATGTAGACAGGCTC